AGGCAGAGTGATATTTTTCTATTTGCTGTCAGACAAACCGACCATGGTGTGTTTTGGGGAAGCTTCGAATTTGACTGAACGTGTGTTCGCAATTTGAATTGTTAAAATCGTACATGAAAACGTGGTCTAGTGGTAAAACGTGGGAATTCGGTCCTTGATGTACCTAGTCCAAATCCTACCAATCACCAGTGGAAATTATCATCTAAGTAATAATGACACGACCCTCTAGGTCTGGCCTGATAATTAATCCGTTAAAAGGTTCCGGCTATAACCTAGCGTCAGCAAGGATGTGAAGATGAGACTTGGAAAAAACACGAGAGCTGACAACATTTCTGCAAATCTTGTCACATTAAATTACCTCGGAATCACTTTCACATTTCAGTTAAAGTGAATCAATGGTATCCACATAAATATACAAGCCACTGTGTTATTAAATGTAACTTACCTTTATTTATAATATACAGGATAAATTAGTTTTTATTTAAAGTGTCGGCGTTTTTCTCACCATCGTTATCAAGTTTTATCTTCTTGCCCTCAAATGCTGTCTCTGAATCATCGCTTCTATCTTCGTGATCTATTCTTCTTTTATTGCCACATATGTTTTTTGGTCCTTTTCTTGTGAACTGCACCTTCTTGACCAGAAACGAAATTATGGATGGAATTTGTTTTTTGACGACGCCGCCGACGCCATTGTCTCTGATATCAATTGCGGAATAATCAATAGCAACCCTTCTCCCTACATGGGTCAACAGTGTAAGCAAATCTTGTTCGGTTCCCTTGCGATCCAAATAGGCGCAGAGGGTTTGAATGTACCATGAACCTGCCGTGGGGCTACGCCAGGATACGTATCCAGGGATGGTGGAGAGAGCAAGAAGGAAGTCTGGAGAAGAGGGTAAAACATAACTTGGAATTAGAGTTGTCTGCTCCGATCCCTCGTCGGCGACTTTAACTCCACTCATTCTTCCATGACCTTGACAAGCTTGTATGACGAATATCTTCGGCTTGTTGGCTAAACTCGGTGCTCTCTCGGGGGTGAAATATGACCAGAGGTGGTTCACATCGAACACCACGTCTTTGGCTCGCACCTTGCCTTCTAAACCGTGACTCATGAAGACTAACAAGAAACAGTCACATTTCGAATGATCCATTTGGCTGATGCTGGACAGAGCTAAAGTTATTTCAGAGAACGTCAAGTCAATGAAGAACTGAAGATTGAACCCCAAATTTCCAAATGTCCGACGCAGACTTTCTATGTCTTTATCACTGCCTAATCGATGGTTGATTAAGCTGTTGTCAAAGGAAGCGTGGTTGAAAATGGCGGCTACTCCGCGACGTGGGTTGTCCATATTGTAATACTTGTTCTTGTTCTCCTCTTTACTTCTGGATGGAGCTTGTGGTTTTCTGGCCGAAATTTTGTTCCTCACAAATTCATCACTCATCATTACGGTTGTGTTTTTCGAAGGGACGACAATTTTGCTAACCTTTCCTTTAAATTTAGGGTGGTTTCTGTTGCTTGGTAACTTTTCGACATAGATTATACTTCAGCCTAACAATCACAGTTAAATCATCAACCAGACCTTTTGTTTACTCATCGAGTAAGTTAATTGCCGAGCGATACCAGATGGAGTACATATCCAGACGCTTCTTTGGCGTCGCGTCGTCGTCAGTGGACATGTAACTTGCTCAGACTGGTCAATAAACCACTTTAATGAGATGCGCAAATGTAGAAGTTGCCTGTCAGGCAAATAAATTAAGTTCCACAGTCGTATTATAATGTAGGTTAATTTCAAAACCAAAGAAATGTCAGGGATTATAAATTAGAGAGCGGTTCACAGACTGGTTTGTATCGTTAGTTTGCCCGTTTATGTAAAATTGCAAGATTAAAACACCTCGCAGTGTTCAGTTTATTGACAAGTTAATTGTTTAACCACAATGTCGTCTTGAGTAAAATAAAAATGTGAGTAGATTAAGAAGAAAAAGATACAAGTTTATTAAAAATATCGCAAACATTATATTGTACACAGCTACAAACTTTAAAATTTTCCTGAAATTATCTTTTTATGTAATAAGTAATGACGTAACTTAGATAAAGTTAGTCACCTAAGCTACTTTTAATTAAATGCAGGTTAGTTACATCTTTGTTTTAATGACGATAGTTTTTTAAAGGTGCTCAGTTAAAAATCTTTAATTTGTATATGAAAATTTGTAGTATTTACTACAACAATCGTGAAGAGCTAAATAAATTAATAATTATTATGTATAAAGTGTACCGGTAGATGCACAATTGGAGGTTTCGGAGAGAGAAAAAGACTGGATATCTTAAATTCTAGAGTTATTCTTTTCGAGAAAAGTAAAACTGTTGTGCTGTAGTTAGCTTGTTTATGAATATATTATTGGGATCAAATTTGGTAAATTTATTTTTATTTTATACTATACTATTGACATTTTATAAGAAACCCACATTTTCTCTTTTGAAGCAGCAAACGTTCAATCTAAGTGTTATTTATAGAGAATAAATCTAACATGTTAAGGAAATATTTTACTATAAATTTGGTTGGACAAATGAAAATTCCCTAACGCAGCTGAAAAAGTAGTCTGTAGGTTTGCTGCAGTGGAGGTTTTGTTTGAAATCCGTTGTAAATCACCCGATTGAATTAATCAAAGTATGCCAAATACGTTCACACATCCATAGTAAATACTTCATACCTCTAGTTTTCAGTTTGTTTAAACTTGTATTTTTAATGGTGATTTTACAGGATTCCCCCCAAAACGGCTCGAACGGTTTTTAATTAAAATTCAGGTGGCTATCGTCCTTTTTAATCTAAAAATTGTACAATCAATAGCACAACAAATAGTACAATATCCTGTAAAAAAAAAAATATTGTAATCTTTACGATTTTATAAAAAAATATCATAGTTAATTCCATCGCTTGCCCATTATAAGGGGTTTTGACTAGCTTATGGTAGAAAGTATGCGCCAGCATCCTGATGATACATTTGGTTTATATTAAAATTCACTGGGATTTGGTCACATTCGATTTTGACCAACAGTTACAGTAGTATTGTTTGAAGTGCTAGGGAAATTCATGCCCTTTTTTTATTGGACCTGCTTGAACAAATCGAGTCAAAGCAACTAGGTAATATGATTTAAACAAATGTTTGCTGATTGAGGACATTTTTCACATTCTGTTGGTTTTACCAGCTGCTCGTGCTGTTTTTATTGTAGCTGTTTTCCTGCTAATTACATTATTTACAGAAGAGCTTTGTTCGAAATCGAGCTATTAGGTACCACGAACCAAATGAACCATTGTCTATACCGGTAATTAATGTAGGCATAAGTCTGCAGTGCAACAAGCAATGTTTTAGTCGATCAAATCGGCATAACCACACCAAAGGTAATGTCCTACTAAAGCGCCAGTTTACCGATGGTTACAGTATTTTCCACGAGGTGCGCCACCAAACAGAGATGTATGTTTTATCAATGGATGTACACCTAAAGTGTATTTTTTGTAAGTAAGACACGATACATAAGATTTACACGAACAAATGTCTAACAAAACATATGTACAGTTTTAACCACTGTATGCCGATAACCAAGAACCAATAAAAAAAGTGAAATTGAAGGGGGGATTTAACTTGGATACTGACTATAAATATGTAACCTTATTGGAAACAGTAAATATAAATTTAATAACAATTCAGAATAATCAATGTTAAGTTCTTATTCGTTCACGTTATGTAAATTGTACAATTCTTAGACAGCAGCAACAACAAAAATACAGTTGGCCCACTAGCACGGCCACCTTTAACTTCAGGCCGCGGCCTTCGAAGTGGCAACATCGTAAGTAGTGTTGTAAACAGATGATTTGTTTAAGGGCAGCTAATGGTATTTTTGTGTATTTTTTAAGAATACGAAAAAAGGTTACTGGGTTATGAAAATATTTACTCTACTTTAAATGTACAAAAATAGATAACCCTGTTATGTTTTCATCTCTTAATGTTTAATTTTTAATCTTTTTATAAATTTATGTTCATAAATTTAAATAAATAATACGCAAATTAATGAGCTGTGTCACCTGTCTGCCATGTCATCTTATGGGTTGTCTGGTGCTAGTGGTGCTAGACATAGACAACACTTCTTGCAACGTTGCCGATTCTACCAGGCCGTGGCCTGGAGTTAAAGGGGACCGTGGTACTAGGCTACCGCGCTTTCACTTCACCTTTTCCAACTTTATTTGAGAAACAGTTATGTTTATTTGAGAACATATCAATTGTATTTGAGATTAGTGAAATATATTTTAGAAAACATCAAATGAAGTTGAGAACAGTCAGTTATATTTAAGAAATGGTTAAATGTATTTGAGAACTTGTGATTTGATAATGAGAAACTCAACATTCAGCTGATTAATAACCAACTTCTCATTTAAAAACCCTAATTCTGAAATACAATTAATGACTTCTCAATTCCATGTAATACTTTCTCAAATACAATTGACTATTCTCAAATACATTTGTCGTTTTATCAAATTCAACTGACTAATCTCATTTACATTTTATGCTTTCTCAAATACAAGTAATGATTCTCAAATACAATTAAAATCTTCTCCAATAAATGTGGAAAAGGTGTAGACTATACAGTACACAATGCTATATTTTCACAAATTTTTATAACAATACACTATTGAAATATTACTCTTCGTTCGTTCTATCACATTAAAATAAGAAACAAACATATAAAATCAAATATCTGATTGACATGACCTAATTCCAGCATAAAAACTAGCCATAAAGTTAATATATGCTATGACTAGGCTACTCAGTGCTCCATAATCAACGTTAAAAAGGTCAGCTAGTTGGTTAAACGAAACTGCCCGCATACACATGTTGAAAATCTTTGGATTGGTTGTTTTGATTTGATTGGTGGATTCGGTCGGATTGGATAAGGAAGGAAAACTCAAACCTTAACCTGAAACAAACTCAAAGTTGATGTTGATAATAAATAAATGATTTGATTTGGTGTTTGTTTACTATTTAGCTGAAGTCAAAGTTTATAATTAAACAGTATTTAATTGGTTAGAAAGGGGTTTTATTATTTTAATCTTGCTTTATTATAAAACTATTTGTAGGTAACGTCAATCACGAAACGTTTTTTTAGGTTAAACGATAACAAATCTGGGTTAGGCTGAGCCGAGCCCTAGCAGTGCTCATTTTAGAGGTTAAATCATCTATAAACGTTGATAAAAATTAATTAAGCTACGTCTTAAGATGGGTGTGTTTATGGGGATAGCCTCTGTGTTCCTAGGATGTTGCAGCAACGTGGTGTTTTTGGAATTACTGGTCAAGTGAGTAGCCTAGATACCTATAGGCCTAATTTTCTTAATACATAGGCTACTAGGCTTAGAGCTGTAAGTTGGGTAGGCCTACTTAAAAAGCCTAGTTCTTTAAAAGTGACAATCAATTGTAGGCCTGAAATAAAATCAATTACCAAATCAGTTTCTTGAACTGGGCTACCGTAGCCTATGCAATATCGATTTTATTTATTTTATAATTTTGTGTGTTTTTACATCTGTGGCATTTTTGAGGGGTACAGTTTCTTAACTGAGCTACGCTAATATTGATTGAAACTATCGAATTGAAAATATTGATTAAGCTAATAAACTATATTTTAAAATATAAGTTATCTAGGCCTAATAAAATTAAACTAAGTATCATAACCTAACCTAACCAACCAAACTAGCTGATGGCAAAAAAATCGCATAAAGGTTTTACTAATCGAATGGATAGTTCAATCGATCTTAGTGTAGCCCAGTTAAGAAACTGTAACTTACCCTTTTTGAGTTTTGAAATGGAGTCCAAACCCTGGTCTTGTTTAGCCTACTATCTAACATCGACCTTTTTTATAATAGCATAAGTCAATTAATTCATAGTCCAACGATTGAAACTACCAATTTGATTTACTTAGTAAACCTTCATTTGATTTTAGCGAATTTCCTATAACTTATAGTGGAATTTAAGCTATTACCGTAGTAAACTTGCTCATAATAAGACCTGGACCCAGGACCGATTTACTTTTTTGTTTTGAGGTCCCTAGTAGAAACCAAAAGCACCATCCGTTCAAATTCTTATATAGGCTAGGTAGGTAACTTATATAGGCTACGGTACCTAGGCCTATAAGTTATAAATAGATAAATGTAGGTTTACATGTTTATACCAAATTTCATCAATATCGGATAATTTTTGCTCGAGTTATCTACCTAACGGACACATAACTTAAATATAAGTTATGTGTCCGTTAGCAGAATAATTCGATTAAAAATGATCCGATTTTGATGAAATTTGGTATAAACACGTAAACCTACATTTATTTATTTAGGCCTAGGCCTATATAGGTAGGTAGCCTATAAACATGTAGGCCTAAATCTACATTAATTCAAACGAGTTCGCAAACCAGCATGGTCGGACTATGGGAAGCCCCCCTTCCCTACTTTATGTGGAGTTTTATCGGGTAAAAATTGGTTGTTCCAATTTTTGACTCAAAAAACATAAAATTGAGCAATTTCTTTCCAATCCATTCTGAAGAGCTTATTCAAAGAAATATTTTAGTATTAAGTGTTGTTATGCACCTAATGGTTAAAACATAGAAAAAAATTTAAATTCCCCTGTTATTCTTATGGAGAATAAGTAAACTGTTGTAGTTTGCTTGTTTATATGTTGATCAAATTTGGAAAATGTATTTATTTCTTACTGAGCTTAAACAATTGACATTTTGCAAAGATTCTAACCTAATCAAAGCTATTAGCATAACCTGATTATTTTTCAGCTACCTTAAACTTAATTGAACTTAATAATATCATTGTTGTGGGCCAAAGGCATAGGCATAACTTAGTTTTTTGATGTACCTATATATTTTTACAAAACCAGCTTTTTCTCCCAGAAGCTATCTTTGAAAGTGAAAGTACAAATAACACGTGTTCTCCTAGAGCTTCTCTGGTAACTTAGGCTTAAAGAGCCATTATAAATTAGACTTTCTAAGCGTTCTTTGGACCTGTTTGTCTGCCTTGAAAAAATATTGACATTCATCTCTAACTCATATGCCTACCACTTAAGTTTTTAGGAATTAAAATAAATAAAGGAGAGAGGATTTTGCAGTTTTGTATTTTTTAAATAGGCAACAGCTTTTATCAAGAAAACAATAATACCCTTATTATAAACAATTTGTTCCTATTCAATAGGCCTATTCAAAAAATCAAGAGCTAACACCTAGGCTATCTTCTATATAAATAAAATTAGAGTTTTGTCTGTACATTGCTCAGAATCATACATTTTTAGGTTATTTTTACGTTTTATACATTAAAGAAGCCGAAACAAGTCTCATCTAAATTTCTGTCTGTCTGTCTGTCTGTCTGTCTGTCTGTCTGTCTGTCTGACACACTCAAGATGGCATTTTACGCAATCTTCTCCAGGAAAACGAGAGTACCTATCAAGACCCAAGTCATTTTAATGTATTCACTGGATTGGCGAGAGTGTCTTTAGCCATTAAAATATGGTCTCACTACTTTGTAATTAAAATTACGGCCGTTCAAAAATGCAGTTTTGTGCGATTTTTGTCAAGTTTTCTTCCAATTTGTATCACATAATCATCTATGAAACAACGAACAGCTGTTCGGATCAAGATTATTTTTTCTAGCTGTCACTGAAATGTTTACAAATGTTGTTTACAAACACCACAACCATTTCCGATCACGTTTTGAAGGCAAATCCCATCAAAGTGAGATTAAAAACGTTTTTATTACATAAAGGATTTAATTAATCGCAAGTGGAATAATATAGTGTAACCGTAAATTAAATAACTAGGCATCATCCAGGTCAGGAACCAGAAATATGTGTATAAAATTGTTTTGGAGTTTTGATAACCAGAAAGAAGACATTGAATCAAGATTGAATCAGTGTTGTATATACGGCTGGGAAACTTAAATTTACTAATGACCGTCGCCAATAGCTTAGAAACAATGTTCCACTCATTGACGGCTCTTCAATGGCGGTTGTGTAAAGTGTAAAGCAAAAAATTACAACTGCAGTGGGTGATTGTAACAGAGGTTTACGGATGATGCTGAACTCGATTTTCCAATGTGTCACTTTCTGTTCCTACCATTGGCTATATAAAGTCAATAGTTCCTACTCACCGTGTGATGCAATCGCTGGACCATACAGCCAATAGGCCCATAGCCCTTCTCTTGGGTACGTGTGGTACGTATGCTTACCCAATTATTTATAACAACCCTTTCGACAACGATCCTTGATACCGGTACTTTTCCATGGAATACACGGCCTACCTAGGTACTTAAGAAATAAAATTATAAACGTCCAAAAACCCAACGTTGTGTGATTTTTGTCACATTTCCTTATAATGTTAATATATATACCAGCAACAATTGTTTAGAGAATACGTAATCTATTAAATAACAGAAAGTTATGTTGTATAAGGTTTTTTTTTTCAAACTGACACCGATAAGTTTACATTAAGAGTTGTGTACAAATAAAGCAATTAATGGGAAATAACTTTGATTGCCGATAACTTTTTACGAGAAAATCCAAAACCAAGAGATCATTAACCTTGATTAACGCATATAATTGGTTGGCTGTACTACAGTTCTTAACCATAAACGTTGGTTTTTGGTACGGTACTGGTTATTTTCCTTTTAACCTTTAGTAGCAGCAAGAATCATTTTTACGTACCAACACATCACAGTAATTTACAAATTAGTTATCGTTGGTGTTGCACCTTATTTATTACAGGCGTAGGCCTATTCAATTTAATTGATGTCTTAACTGTATAATTTTTGCTTTTTCTGTCTGGATTCCAAAATGTTATGCTAAGAAAACTATAACGCATTTTAGTAAAACATTTATTCAGCAAACCATCATGAATTGTTCAAACACTTTGAACGTTGTTTATGTATCAATAGTTCGTGGCCTATTTTGGTAATTTTTATTACAAATTACCAATCTACATTTATTCAGCAAACCATCATGAATTGTTCAAACACTTTGAACGTTGTTTATGTATCAATAGTTCGTGGCCTATTTTGGTAATTTTTATTACAAATTACCAATCTAAATCGTCTATAGTAGGCCTACTGTACTTCATTTCATATAGCAAACCGATTCAGATAGCATTTCGACAGAATTTCGAGTCATCTCCGGTCCAAGCAAATATAAATTGTTATGATCAAATTTTATGGCATTAACAAAGATTTCAAGTACTAATTTTATATGTACCTTTTTATGCTTAAAGCGTAGCAGATTCCCTAATTAAGTTCGGTATTTTTGTGTGTATGTATGATGGTAACGCATTAATGTCCTTGTTTCTCAATGTTTCACGGAAAGGACAAGAGCGCCTTGATAATGAAAATGTCAACCCGAATAAAGTGTTAAATTAAGAGGTTGAGGTAGTACCTTAAATACTTTTAACCAGTCCTTTAAATTCTGAACAAAATTGTACAAATCCATTTCCGTATATTTACTCTCACCGCTTACACATGATAAAGGTTGTTGACAAACTTATGGGAGAAAGTATGTGTCAGAATGCTGATACCGTTTATTTAGTTTAATCATTGGATATAACATATGGACCAACAAGATCCGGGTGACATTTAATTGCGAAGCATTAGTTTTGGCTTGAAACTGTCAGATACTGTATTTGCGAAGGGATAGTTTTGTCAGCATATCTGAAAGTATGCAAACCAACTGCTGTGCTTTATATAAGAAGGTTTTAACTGACTATGATAAGATCCCCGTGCGTAGAACGGGCTCACAGCTAGTATATCCTATATTTTTTTGGAAGATAATAGGCCTATTTTCATTACCGGTAGGCCTTTTATAAAATCTATTAGTTTTAAAATTGAAGAAAAAGAAATAAAAAAATTGTGTATAAGCTTTATGATCTAGTACTGTATTATTTCACAGAATATCTAAGATAGGTAACGTAATTTGTCTTATCTTATCCCTGAAGTGTGTTTTCATTCAAACTTTGAAGTACATCGTTTGTTAAAAAGCAGTCTGGAAACTATAATAAATATCTCTGTCAAAATTGTATTTTAACACTAATTATTCATTAAAAAGGTAGAAAAATTATACCCCCGCTGTATTAAACCTGCAGACTTCACTTTTGATTTAGATATTTTCTTGTCAGATTTATTCCCTACTAGTGTAAATGTTGCTGGAAATAGAGCAATTGAAAAGAAGTACAGGAGTTATTTAAAAACAAATAGCATATTTAAAAACAAATAACAGTCATAATTTACGATGAGCTTAAAAGAGCCATCTCAAAGATGATGTAGGCCTAACTAGGCTAATGGAAATACTCACAATGTACATAACAGTTCAATCACAATTTCTTTTAAATATTTACTTAATCATTTTTAAAAAGCTGATCTGGCGTTTTTGTGTTTTCAACTAAATGTTTCCCACTTATAGCAGCATTGGGTTGTCCATAACAATCTTTGTCAATGATATTTAATGCAGTCTGCATGGTACCCTACCACCCATCGCCGCCAACGTTTGCAAATTTCAGTAATTTTTCTAATGATACATTTTTTTTTACATTACTTAAGAACTAACTACCTAATTTCCTGCATAATCTCTCTCTCACAATTTTATTTGCTTCAATTGGCATTACTATGGTTAGTTACTGTTATAATGTAAATTCTATTTACCTGAAAAAATGCAGAGTTGTAAGGCCTGAGGTTGTTCCAAGGTGTTTTTTTTTGTTTCCCTTAAATGTGAATAATAGTTTAATCCTTCAATGAAAGTTTTAGTAAAGGTCTCTTGTATGTAGTCATATTCTTCTAAAATCACTTGACTTTTACCAGTTTTATTTGCAGGAATCTTTATATTGTCGGTGTTCTTCATTATATAGGCTAATAACGACTCGTGTAGGCGTACTATGACTTTCCTATGTTTCCATAGTTAACAAATCGGTTCTTTCAATGATTGCTCAAGAAATGCAGCACTATGTCAATTCATTTTTCTTGTTTGGTAAAATACATCAAATTGTCCAGGCTTTCTTGATTTTTTACATTGTGATATGTACGCAAACCCAAATTCAAATAGTAAATATTTAATTTCAACCAAATCAGTAAATGTTTATACATGCATTTCCTTGCAAAATAAATGTTAACAGCAATTAAACTATCCAGCTGACATAATGAAAACAAATAAGTTCTACATAAGAATAACAAGGGAACTTTAAGAGCCAATGGGCCTGAGGGACTTTAAAAAAATTAAGTTCAGTTTGCAAATCTACGCGACACGCTCTTTCCAATGAGACGTTAATGGTCAAAATCAGTTAAGAAATGGCGGAGGAGTTCAAAGGACAAATTTCGTGTCGGCATATTAATTATATAGATAACAAAAAACAGGTTGAATGTGTTTTAGATTTGCTGTTACAGGGAAGGTACTAAAGTTGGTTTTTTAGCAAAATAAGTTATTAAAAGTTTAGTATAGGCCTAACATAAATAAACTTGTCAAATTTGATCAAAATATACCCATAAACAAAAAAAAACTCTACAACAGTTTAGTTAATCCCCATTAAAATAAAATGGGAATTTTCAGTTTACAGTTGTTTGAAATTTCCCATAACCATGGAACGTTTAAAACAACGCTTCAAAGTTTAAACTAAATTATTTGCTTTTTTAGCTCAACAACATGATTTGGGAACAAATTAGAATTCATGTTTGAGGGTCAATAATGGGAAAACCAATGTTAAACCCTATAAAAACTCCCCTTCCCATCCCATAGTCTGATCATGCTATTTCGCAAACTCGTTAAAATATAGCCTTGGTAGGCCTAACTTAGGTGTACACATTTGTCACTATAGCCTACTAATAAAAGTGATCCTTATGTTTTTCTTAGGATAAGATTTTAAAAACACAATTAAAGCTGATGATTTTTTTATACAAATTTTGTTAGTCCTTAATGTATTAAAATGAATCATTTCAATATGTTCAGTTAGCTACAATTTTAAACTTATTGATTAATGGTACCGGTAAATGAATCCAGTTTGTAGATTCGAGCAATATTGATCTAATAACAATTTGTTTCCAGGGAAGACCCCGGGAGTGGAAACCTAATAACGTTTGCACAGTTTCTTTTTGTGGTTGTGCACGGATTTATATTTACGATGAAGTGGGGTACGAAGAAACCAAATATTAGCATATGGTAAGTCCATGTGAACTTCTTACATGCAAATTAATGAAGGGAAATGCAGGTTGCGTCAGCTGTCCTCGCCACCCATGTGAAGGCGCTCAAGTACACGAAACACAGGGTGTACACCCCATGAGTCAGCAGAAATGTTTGCAGTACGGTTTTTCTTTACCGTCTCCACTTTCTCCCCGCCTATACTGCCCGCCCTTGGCCCAAGTGCCAGCCGCGTGTCACGAGCTGTTGATCATATAAATCACAACTTATTGTCAATGGTTGAATTGAAGACTTAAAACTAATAGGTACATCAGTTTATACATCAAAACAATAAAATCTTTGGAAATCTTTAGGTAGGCCTACTGGTTTAATTTAATAATATTTTTATTTCTGATATTGTCGTTATATTTAACTTTAACCTTCGATCTATCCTCCCCCAATCTATTGTTTATCATCCTTTATCAACCCTTATATAATTTCTCTTTGTAAAAAAATTATGTCAAGCCCAATAAGAATAGTAGCAAAAAAATATAAGCACCAGAATTTACTAGCAAACACTTTAAAAAAAAAAAAAACTTAAATCTGAGAGAGAGAGAGAGAGAGATCTTGCATTTCCGCGCAATTAAATGGCTTGGTTTTAATTACCAAGCCCTAGGCTGTAGTATTAGGTTTAGAGTTAAATACATTTTAATTTTGTTCAAACTGTGTTGCTTTTTCAGGAACTACACAGTTCTCGTAGTGATGTTTTTTGTCGTCAATGTTTTCAACAACTATGCTTTTGATTTTAACGTAGCGATGCCTTTGCACATGATCTTCAGAGCAGTAAGTATGAATTTATCATACAGTTTTGATATTTCAAATTTTAATGTTTCAGAGTTCAAAAATAATCCTAATTATGTATTAGTAGGAATCATTGTAGTCTATTTGACAATATACTATTTAGGCCCACTATATGATCAAGTGACAATCACTGGTGACGCCGAAACCGCTTGTTCTGCTCGTGGTTTTTGCTTGATGGCGTGAAAGGATCACCGTTATTGAAAAATATGCTCACAAGTACTTTTGTGGCAGCGGCAGACAATTACCGGTATTGCCGAGGCCGCAAGATATGCTAAAAGGTTTTGCTGAGGCGGTCGGTCGTGGGAAACGATAACCAGATTTAAGTCTTATTTAATAATTCGCATGATAGTCTTGTCATCAAGATACCACTGTGATATCACAGACAAAAAGAGTTAAATATAGACTGTCAGCTGTGCTGCGGTTACCATAGGTTCTGGCGCCGTGTAGTTACGCAGCGTGTACGCCGTAACTACATGGTGCTCCCAGCGGTGTGCGCCATAACCTATGGTAACCGCAGTACGGCTGACAGTCTATATTTAATTCTTTTGTCTATGGTAATATATCATTCTTAAGATTATTTTCAAATTAAAGGTGCATATAAGCTAAATTAACAAATAAAATGAAATAATACTTTTTCAAACTTACAATTTCTAAAGTACACATGATTTTTTCAAACAACAGTTCAATGCGATGACAATTATAATTGCTTATAAAAAATCCTTTAACATTTCTTTGAATATTAAAGTGGTGTGATAAGCCTTGAAGACAAGTTCTGATAGTAGTACCATTGACTATAACAGAAAATAGACTTCCCAAGTAATGTAAAAATTTGAAGCCAAAAAAGAGTGGCTGCAATCTGTTGAGATGGTCACCAACTAGAGACAGTAGTACTTAGAATTAGTCTTGAAATCTCCTGGAAACTCCTTGAATTCTTTGGCTAGATATAGTCGACACCCTGTTAACACTAAGTTACTTTAGATGCTTCTCTAATTATTTGTTCAACTTATCTGAAACCATACATTTTGTTTCTAATACTAGTTAATTTTACAGGGTTCCTTGATTGCCAATATGATTATGGGAATCATAATTTTGAAGAAAACATACTCACTCTCCAAATATGTATCTGTTGGACTGATCACCTTGGGTATTGCAATTTGTACAGTAATATCTGGTCAAGATGTAGTAAGTATGCAACAAACTGAGAACAGTAAAAGCTGCATAGCTTTTAAATTTACATATGTCATTCTAGATGATAAATAATCATTCTTATTGTTTGCCTTCTTAAGGATTGACACTGGCAATAGTTTTTCAAACCATGTATCGGCTTCCAAATACTTACTATGATGTGCACAAAACAGCGAACACATAACAAAATACCCCCGCCGCAGCAAACCTGACGCCTAAGCGAATTTCTATTTAGCTGAATTGATTTTCAATTGATCTATTTAAATAACATTAGGTTTAACGAGTACCTAGGTTTGCTGCTACAAGGAAACTAATAAAGTGTGTGTTTTAAGTAAAATAATTATTGCTTAGTATAAAATGAATATATTTGCCAAGTTTGATGAAAATATATCCATAAACAAGCAAACTACAACATTTTACAATATTCTCCATAAAAATAACATGGGAATTTTTAATTTACCATTTTTTTAGTTTTCTCCGTAACCAATAACCGTACAAAAACACTTTGATATACTGAATTGTTTGTTTTTTTAAGCTCTTTAAGAAGGTTTAGAGAAAAATTGGGAAATTTTGTGTTTTGAGGGTCAAAAGTGAGAAAAACCAATTTTTACCCCATAAAACCCCCCATAAAACCCTGTTCCCATGGTCCGATCATGCTGGATCGCGAACTCATTCAAGTTTATCCCGCCTTACACCTTCAAACCAAATTTCATCAAAATCGGATAAAAATTACTCAAGTTATCGTGTTCACGGACACATATATATATATACATATATAAAAATTTGAACGAGTGGTGTTTTTGGCCTCTGTGGACATCAAAATGAAAAAGTAAATCGGTCCCGGGCCTAAGTCTTACCATGAGACCTACGGTAATAGCTACTTCCCTATAGGGAAATTCGCTAATAAGTCTTACCATGAGACCTACGGTAATAGCTACTTCCCTATAGGGAAATTCGCTAATAGAAGCGCTACTCAGAGCGCAGGAGCGTGGCAGTCTGACTAGCCGACGAAACGGACAAAGATGGCGGCGCTAGCCTAGTCCCGGCGTCTGCAACGCGCTGGTCGTCTGGTATGCTTCGAGTCAGTGCTGTTTACATAGGCTTTGTTGAAATGTAAAAATACTTTTGTATAAAAATTACTTAGGTTTTTCTGGAAGTACATTGTCGTATTAGTATATTGTTGGAAATGTCTTAAAGTAAATCGATTGTTTTTACCGTAGTAAATCGATTTTTTTATCACGGGAGAAATTTTTGTTTACAAATATATATCTGTTTAAAAAACATCTTTGTTCACATTATACATCTGTCATATTAGTGTTATTTTATTTCTTGTGTCACGACAAACACGATGGCATTTTGAACGACATTTTTAGCGTCTTATTAACGATGTTAATAAAAATAATAAAAACATCACCATAAAGACTATTGTGAGTAAACATTTTAAAATGCATGGAACTGTTAACAATAAACCTACCAATAAGCCATAACAATTTCAGAAAGATTGGCTGAGTAGTTTGTTTACAATTAAATTTTAAACTTCAGTGTTAGTGCAGAGTTTCTTAAAAATCGGTACTTTTTAGGATCTTTCAACTATATAAATTTTTCTGGTAAACGGAATTTTTTAATTGTTACCACGTAAAATGTATTTAACCCAGATTATATTTAATTTTTGTCTCAACAAAATCTGATAATTCATCTCAAGAGATATTTAGGCTCAAACTCGAGTGCACATATTTAATTCCCCGACAGTAGTCCCGGCGTGTGCAGCGCGCTAGTCGTCTGCTATGCTTGTTGCGAATAGTGAAGATATAAAGTTAAATGATTTTAGTGTAAAAGGAAAACAATGTAATTGAGGACTTGACGAACAAAGTACTTGGACAATGTGTAGGTGTAAATTTGTTTCCAAATAAATAGTACACATTTCTCAGGATATGAAACAATATGGACAAAAATCATTTTTGTTTAGTACCTAATTAAAATTATTGCAAAAAATATTCCAATGTTAGAGTTCGCTACTACTGTAAAATAAGTAACGAAAGTCTTCACAAAAATAAAATCAGGCAAAATCTCAATAAAACTGTAATTTTTCTGGGACAATAAATTGAGTGCAATTTTACAAATATATTTAGGAAGTTTAATTTAACTTACAGCGGGCGTGGCGCGGAGCAGCGGCAATGGATCCCTTTTGTACCTGATTTTTTAGAAAACCGAACATGATAAACATTTTTGGTGAATCGTATAGTTAAATTTGGTTATTGGTACACAACTTTCCCGCTGACGAAATTTCTCTGACCAAAAAATAAAAAATTTCCTCGCAATACAACTTTTTTATGTCTGAAATTGAAAAATTAAACTACATAAGTATTAAACATATTTATAACTCAATTACTATCGTAACTAATAGTTTTATATTAACACCATCGTTTTCCTCAGTATCATATCTACAAGTGTGCAAAATTTCAGAATTTTTTGTCAACTATTAATGTTGTTTATGATCGTGTATTTGTCGCGGGGTTTTTAATGCGAACTGTGCTCGCGGGTCTTGGATTCAGGCTGTATGACGGACCAAGATGGTGGATTTGGCCACACTTTCAGTGCATTTGGTTAAACGCCGTGTCCTCTCTATTATTATTATTATTATGTGCTCGCTGGCACAAAAGTATTTAGTTGTGGCCCCAAAATGAATTACGTGTTGCTGTAAGCCTAAGTGGAAACCTGAGGTAGTAAGCTTCTATAGACATGCATACAGTAGACTCCCTCTTATCCAGGCACCTCTTAACCGGACATTGGTTTAACCGGACTACACTAGACGGAAATGACATCTCTTTAAACGGACAATTTTAATCAGCACATTGGTTTAACCGGACTAGATCAGCCAGCAGGAAGTGGGTGGTACTGTAACGACTGTTCTCGTGGGAAAGATTTGAGACCAGTGATTACATGTCTGAATACAATGCTCTCCTAAATTTAAGTTGAATATCACCGTAAACGGTCCATTTTAACGATTTTTTGGGGTCGTCGGCTTAACCGAAAAAACCGTTATCCGGACTGGCCTCGGTCCCGAGGAGTCCGGATAAGAGGGAGTCTACTGTACTGTAGAAACTTGCTCCGAGGGAGAAGATTATCCCGTCGAAGAATAAAAAATAACTTCCAACATTTCAGATGTGTTGCTAATATCTATGTTGCAGTAAAATATATAACTGAAACAGCTTGAATTGTAGCTTTCCCTAATGATGGATTGCTAAGCTAAAAGAATAGACAATGCCATGGTAAATGATTCAATGACTTTACACTCATTAAGATCCTGTTATACGAACGCTAATCCCACAGTGTGACACTTTAGTTCATATTTAACAGGGTTTAATTTGACTCCTTTGTAATTGTATGAACTTCCTAGTTAAAACCTAATCAAGTATTACTTTTAATATAGAAAAAAACTGGTCCAGTCCGAGAAGACGCTAAGCCTACAACAGAAGTAGAAGATTTCTTTTGGTGGAGTATTGGTAAGTATGCTACTCACGCAAGTGCTGACAATTTCTAAGCTTTGATTTGTGGCTATAAAATCAGATAGTAACTAGATACTCGGTGGTGTTCACAGACACGTTCACAACATTGGAGACCCTGGGCTAGCGTTTTGCTAGATTCCCTACAAAGTATAGTGGTGGGGAGTTATGGGGGGGGGCTTTTTTTTTGTTTTCATAAGCTTAAACTAAGTACGATAACCTAGTATAACAAGTTAAGGTTTTACTAGGTAAATTTAGACAGGCAAGGGTTTGATAAGTATAAATGGATAGAGTTTATTCTACTTTTGGACGCAGCACTGTGCAATTATTAATGCATTTCTCTTTTAACTACTCTTTTTTGTTAGACTGTTATTTAATATATAATTTTGCTTAAGCAAGACTTTAAAGTGTAACAATTAAAGACAACAGACAGACATGTTAACAAGAAAATCATACTTATTTCCAAGCTCAATATTAAGGAACTTTTTATATCTTTTCTATTAGTTTTTTTATTGGCACAAGGCTAGTTCCACATTACAGTAGAACTCCAACTATTTAAATTGCCGATGATGCAAACAAATTTTAAAAATCGAAAATTACAGTATAAAAAATTTAAAATTACGTCTCCCGTGAACATCTTTATCTTTGGTTGTCTTTCAGACATCATCTTCCTCTCACGCAATGACGGAAAATCATCACCTCAGAATTTTCAAAGATTGCAAAATCTTTGCAGGACCGTGATAGTATTATGTGATTGTGGTAGCAAAAGCTTGGGTTGACCTGGCCCATTTTATATTTAAAATACTCAGAATTTCGGTATAACAACAACTAACCAAATTTTTTAGTATTTGAATGTGGCATGGATGGTTCTAATTACTGTATTTAGTGTGGTTGGTGGAAGATTTTAGTTTATAGTAGAAATCCCTAGATGATAGTTTCCCCCCTTTTTTATTTATCTAGATCTTATCTGGTTGAACTTGTATATTTGTAAATAAATATCATTCTAATAACATTTGTAAAACTATTCTAGGAATCCTCCTGTTGACAACTGCACTGTTTATGTCTGCCCGGATGGGTATATATCAAGAAGAGCTTAACAAAAAATATGGCAAGAATCCAAAAGAGGCTCTATATTTTACAGTAAGTTTTAGTACTGTATTTAGTATTAATAATGTTAAATACTACTTTGGTATGCCAGACAGCCGTATGTGGTTTCATAACTTTTAGGGCTCCTTATGCCTTCAGCTAGAGCCTAGAACTATCTTATCATACCGTTATACTGAATATATACTGAATGTAAAACTGCTAATCCTCAAGATATACATGTGTAGGAAAAGTAAAGTCCTAAGAAATGTTTTTTTAGAACTGACAATACACAGATTTACTAAGATAATACATACAAGTATCCTTTCCTGATGTAGTTCTTCCCAGGTGTGTACGTTAACTAGACCTCTCCTCCATCTTCTATTTTCCATAGGTTCCTCTTCCTCCACTATCTGCCATATTACTTATATTTTCTCCACAACCCTTTCACCTCATCCATTACCTTTTTTCATTCTCCATTCTGCAGATTGTTGTACACTTGTTCCCTCAAGCCATTATTTCTAATGGCAGTCTCAGCGGCACTAGCCATCCTAAAAGCATCAAGACTCGCAAAACCCTCCCTAAGCATTTACTTTTTTTATTCTCCTACCAAAACACTAACTATGAGTTTACTAATCCCAAAATCACAATTGTTAAGTCAAAGTACCATAAAAAGCTCAAAGTTGAAATACTCAGAATATAGCCTACTGCTTTGCTTGAGGTTTTTTGGTGATGGTGAGTTAACATAAGGCTTATCTAGCAGATTAGGCCCATGAGAACATTTTCCACCTTGTTTTGTAAAAAAAAAAAAGTATTCACACCATTTTGAGGATCCCTAATCTGACAGTACTAGGTACTTTTCACTTAAAGATAAGATCAGATTCCAGATCCTGAAACATCGTTGTAAATACTTACTTGGGATTTCAGTTGTAGTCATAACAAACGTTCCTAATAATGTGTTAAATAATAGAACTTGTACTTGATCGTATTTAAGAGGGTTGAGGGTTGCAAATATAGTTGTGGTTTCCAGTATTGTTAATTGCACAGCTACCTCCCAAAAGTCTAATACGGTAATGTTAATTGCTCAAATATCTCCCAAAAGACTAGTACTGAGCATCAATATTATTTTTTTTTGTCAGTGTCCTTTGCTCTGTCACCAACAACTTCATTCTCTAGTAATTCTCTTTGACGATCATCTCACATATTCAAACCATCTTAAAATAGATTTTTGGTCTCTTAAGCTGTTTTTTTTATATAATACATAGAACTTTAGCTCAACTTGGAAATAAATGCAATATGTGACATGTGTGTTGTTACAGCACTTGTTGCCTCTTCCAGCGTTTGCTCTACTCTACAACAACATCTACGAACATCTGATGATCACAGTCAACAGTACACCTATGCAGATCCCCGTATTACCAGTGGCTGTACCAATACTGCTGGTCTACTTGTTGGGCAATGTCGTCACTCAGTATCCTTTTCAGAGTCTACTTTTGTGCAGACACTGAGTTAAAATTACACCGAGCTGTTCTTCATCTCTGTGCTACAAATAAACAACACTGGCAAGAGTCAGCTGATTTTTGTCAGTAACAATAGGTAAAAATCAGCTGATTAGGGAGTAAGAATTATTTTTGCCCATTGTTGGATAAATTTTTGAAACCGTGAAAGTTAACAAATGTGGTAAATTTTCTCAGGATTAAACTTGTTAGTTAGTGTTTCAACCCTCCTGCTACATTTTTTGGAGGAAAAATCATTATTTATGTATACATCAAATAATAAGGAATGCATACAGCAATATCTCACTAAGTAAGTACGGTAATTTAGAGTGTAATGTAACATAGAGCGCAAGTGTCAAGCTTTTCATGATTTTTGTCTAGGACAACATGCTTAACTGAATGAATGGGAAAGAGCTCACCCTGGCCCAAGAAACATAAAACTTACACTATACATGACTGTAACTGATGATGTAACTGTATGATGTAACTGTTGCTGAAGGCATTTTCAAACAATGAAAGATTGAGTGGTCTATTAATTTTCGAGTAAAATGTTACATTCGATGCTCCTTTTGGGACTCTTTCTCATTCAGGTAAGACTACTATTTTAATAAAAATTACTAAGAATTGGTTTAGGAATTTAAAAAAAGGAATAGAGTTCAACTAGCATACCTGAAATAATTTTAGTCAAGGGCTTATAAATAAACAAATATAAGATCACAAAACTTACCAATTAAATTTCACCCTAAGTAGAACTTTTTCAGAGAGAAGTTTGAAGACAATAATATTTGTATCTAGTAGCTTCTGGATTCCCATTTTCTATGACAAGCTGAATTCTATCCTGTTGCAAAATAATTCCTAACAAAGTTTTGCCTACCACTTCATAACCTAAATTCTTTACTTATTTCCTCCAAGCAAAGAGTTTAGTAGTTTGATAGCACACTCGTTCAAAAATTTAAAATTGTTGAACTCTTTTGTTACATTGTGAGTTAGTTGTGTATCCATTCCTTTTACAACCTATAACTAGTTGATATTTTATTTTTAGCTCAAGCCAACATGTTTAAAAGTATTTCTCCCTAACTGAAATTTAGATACCTCTGTATCAGCTCAGTCTATTACCTCACATCTGAGTGCTCGTCGCTGACCGTGACGCTCGTCATCACTCTACGCAAGTTTGTCAGCCTACTCTTCAGCATCTTGTACTTCAAAAACCCATTCACCATCTACCATTGGGTCGGCACCACGATGGTCTTTGTAGGGACACTCATCTTCACAGAAGTTCCTCAGAAGATACTACAGTCTTCATCAGCGCCTGCCAAGGCAAAGAAAGCTCAGTAGAATATGTAAAAAAGGGGTATTATTTGATATTTAAGCTTATATGAATTACTATTGTTGACTGTGGCCTGTTGAGGGTGAAACAGGTCTTAAGTAACCTTTGAGTTTTTTGTATAGTCAAATTTTCACTTAGAAATTTGAAGCAACTTTTTGCACAGTTGGTGGTTTGAATGCACCATTCGTTTAGTGGCTTAAATGGCAGCTATAAAAATTATATTATTTTGAAAAACAAGATATAACTGCAACATAACTACTCTTCCTGCAAGCGTCAAACTTATCGACCTCACCACCATCAATCTCCCAAGATTAAAAATACTTTTTACAGGGATGCTCTGGACTAAAATCTCAGTTCATGATGTTATCCTTTTCCTGTCAATTGTTGGGATATACAGCCAAATTTTTTTTAAATAGTGTTTTATTTTAAGATAGAATTGGGTAGTAAAACTGTAAAACAACATGGTCAAATTATTTTTTTAACTGGAATTTTTGAAAAAGAATAGAGTTAAGCCATTCAAACTCTATTCCTAGTAAACAAATTCCTAGTTAAATAGATTTCCTTTAAAATATTACCTTATATTTGACAGGCAACCGAAACCTGTGTAAAAGAATTTAGAAATCCAATATAACTCAAGTATTTAGTTTAACGTATTCAAAAACAAAGATAAGTTCAAGTTCAATCAATATTCAATATTTGCTATTGTAAAGGCTGCTGGGAAGCAAGCTGGTTTAGTGGTTAGAGCGCGAGACTTCAAGCCTTAGGTCCCGGGTTCAAATCCCACCAAATCACCAATGGATTTCATCTAAAGTGATAATGCCGCAACCACTAGGTCTAGCCTGAAGTAATGTGAAAAACAATCCCAGGCTTGTGCATAGCGTCCTAGGAAAAAAGAATTGTAAAGGCTGCTAAATCAGCATACAATGGTCTGGCACACCATAAACCTGGCTTTGGCCAAAGGCCCAAACAATGTTTGTTTATTGTTTTGCTGCGGATTCAGACTTAATCGGCATATGCCAGGAGCAATTGGCATACTTCCCAAAAAACCTATATAAAAAATCCCACACGAAGATCAGTAAATCTTTTCTTAAAATCCTTCTTTTTTTAATCAACCTGTAGGCCTACCCTTTTAAATATTGAAATAGTGGATACATTGCATTAATCATTATAAAAAAAAACATGGACACAATTCTAAATCAATATAGGCGTACGAGTACTATTTAACGCCTGCCAAAAATATGCCTTTACAACTAATTAGATTGTTGCATTACCCTCTAAAATTCTTTTCCTTCAATTTAATACAGATTTGGTTGTGACGAGTCAATTTTTTCATCCTATAAAAGGCCACTCTGGGACTTGAAAATTATTTGACTATGAATAATTTTGATGTTATATTATTTAATGTGTGTCCGTCCAAAATGCATTTATCATTTGACATGTGTGTGAAAGGAATTGGTAAATGTTTTGGACTTTAACAACATGCTTTATTAGTTGAAAAAATTTTTAGAATTTCATACAATTAAATTTTACACCATTTTTAATACCAATTTAGCTGATATTGCTTAGGTCTCTGTTTTTTTTTTATTGAACCCTATTTTACAAATAGTAACTGACAATAACTTTACAAAACCTTTGACTATTGATTGATATAACTAAAACTGTCCTCACATTATTCATAAGGATTACAAATCCACAAAGGGAGTATCTTTAACACATTCACTACCAGGTCTCACAAAACGCCTCATACAGAGGAGTGTGGCAACTGGTAGGAAACTTGTTAGTCTTTTATGTAACTAAGTTAAAAACCTAAAACATTTTGTCAGTATATTTTTGCTCAAAATTAGAAACAGGGTCATCAACTATAGAGGAGTATAGTATACAATCAAGGTGTGTTCAACGTTCAACTTACTTGTAATAATGTATATTGTTTGTAGTGTTCCTCTTTTCACTTTTGCCCTATAATTTAGCACATGTAAGTAAATTAATGACTGTTAACAAAATGAGTGGTGAAAAGTTTTGATTGTTTGCTATGCAATCAAATAACAAAATTATGTAAAATCTATGAAGAGGTAATGTTGGCTAAATGAACTTAGTCCTGTAAGTATAATGTCTCATTTTTACTTTGTTAAAATTTTACCGTGTACAGTAAAGTTTCAATATCGGACCCTCCCAGTTGATATTCACCCTATTTTCGTTTTGTATGTATACCAAAGCTGTAGAAGCGAGACATTCCTGACTGTACTCAGAAAATACACGTCAGGGTTTTAGGGATTTTCCCTTGATTGTATGCATACCACATATTTTGCCAATTATGCTCATTTCCACATACCTCTCTGATAACCTTCACGTTTTAGTGCAAACTGAGACTTGTTGTTGAGTGGACGAGCATTGCTTTATCAAAGATTTTACAGTTGTGGGATATTATTTTATCGTTTATTTTTATGTTATATTTGTGATGATGGGGTTGGAATAAAAACAAGTTAGGACTTATAATGAAAGACAAACTTAATCAACACTGTACCAATTAATTATGTAATTTGTTGACATTTTTACAATTTTGTAATTATTTTTGTTTTAAGTTTTTCTAACCTTGATATGACCAATTTAGATCAGACAATTTCAATGCTACCGTGATATTATTAATTAGTATTTTTTTTATGTTATAATAATATTCAAATTAAATATTTGACTTCTTAATAATTAATAATATTTAAAAAAAAGTATAACAGTTAATACAAGTAAAGCAGGCTTATGTGCAAATAATAAATTTAACTCTGAGTTAGTTTTGGCTAAATTATCTTATCAATGCCCTCATTTAATTTTTCAAATACTTTTGACTAATTTTTGTTTAAGCTTTTGTAAAAATTTATATACTTAGATAGAAAAATAAATTTTTACCAAACTTATTTCTTGTTGTATTTGTATATTGAGGTTTCTAAAGATATATTTTTATATGTACTATATATTTGTCTGTAGCTAATTGTTGGTGTTTCTGTAGCTAGTCATACTGTTATCTAATGGTAAGTGTTTTAATATGAAAATAAAGTTTTTGAAGTTTACCTGTGTTAATTAAATGTGAGCCTAAACTATTTTAATCCTATACAAATCCATATCTGAGTCTTCATGGTTACTCATAGTTAATTTTGTTATATGGTTAGTCCCTCAAACTAAGTACCGTACAGTTACCGTACAGAACTACCATTCATTTTAAGTTTTAACCTATTGAATTATATCTCAACTGGATTAATAAATGAGGAAAGTTTGGGGGTTGAAATCCGCTACAAAACCCACAACTCCAAAACTTGTTAATATGAACATTAAAATGTACAAAACGTAGTTTTTCAATGACAGAGTACTTTGTTTAGTAGAACGGAATCATTTCCAGGTATTTACAATGGCATGGTTGTCAGTCTAATCTTATCTATCTGGGATAGATAACAATTCAATGAGATTGCGATTAATTTTAGTTCAGTTACTCAATAAACGATTTTTAAGCTGTTCAAGAAGTTTGGTTGGGCTAGGTTAGGTTAGAACAGTGTCATCTAACCTAACCTAGCCAACCAAACTTCTCAAACAGCTTAACATATTTGCAGTAGTTATTCTACTATTTAGTGTGTTTTCTCCAAAACAAATCAAAACACTTTTCTAAATATTGTATTTTTCATTTTTTATTACCTAAAAAGGTTTCAAATAGTTATAGAAAAATAGAGTTGTGGGCACCTAACGGATCTTGACCGTTATTGCTGTTATTGACCGGTATTTTTGCACTGTTTTGGTGCTCATTGAATTCATAATGAAATACCTTTGGCCATTGACCTTTCTATACTGAAAATAACATTTAATAAAACTTTGGTTCAAGGTAATATTGTGGGAATAATTATAATTATTGTAACTCTGATAATTCAATATTTAGACATGATAACACTTATTATTCAATTGATGGATAATCTATGTGATGAGGAACGTCAAGTTGTGTGTTTTTGATTCCATTAGGCAACACTTATCTCAGCCAATCAATCTAAGTAGAATCCTCAACTTTTACTTAGATCGTTACAATTAAATCATTAGCAAGAAAATCCAACCGGCCAACCTTTACGTTTTTATGGTGATCTTTACCAAGAAAATTAGCACCTCAATACCTTACAGTTAAAAGTTTTAGAGAAAAAGTGATTTCTTAAAATGTCTTCAGTTACAGATAATATTTCGCCAGTGTTAGTGTCAACAAAACCAATTCTTATTCTGTGTAAATGTGTCGGAGTGTGTTGTTTATCAAATCTCTTTGGCAATTCCCACACAAGGGTGCTAAAGTATAACTTACTCTCTGTAGGGATCCTCTATCAGTTGGTCTTTGTACTTTACTATCAGATATATTTCACTGGAAGCATCTGGTCACTTTTATACTATCGTAGAAAAGCCCATTTTGTCACTTTGTTGTCATTTTTTACCCTAGTGATGTTTTTAGAATGTATTTCGTCTGACAAGAAGCTGCTGAAGTTTTTGAAAAGTGTAGAAGAGATAGATGTGTTGGTGAAGAAGATTTTGCCGCAGAAATACAACACTTTGATTAATCTTGACGTGTACAAATGGGCAGCTGGAATATTCATGTTTGATGTTGTGGTATTTTTTGATAGAGATTGCCACTGGGATGTATCAAAATGTTTCAAGACAGATAGTTTACATTCGGTTATTTTTCATCATCTTCCGTATCTTTCTGTCATCTCTCTATTTTGCACCATGTGTGATCAACTCGTAAAAAGATTTCAGTTGGTAAAAACAATGATGATTGAGAACCAAGATAAGTTAGAAGAGCCTTTTTACCTTGAGGAATGCCGTAGTTTGTACAGTTTGGTTGTGGAGTCTACAGAAATATTTCTGGAATGGATCTCGCTACGAATCACCAATCATTTTATTTTAATTACACTCTATTCTATTTGTCAAATTAGTTTTCCTTGCTTTTACGGTAACGGATGTATACTAACAGTTGTAATCCTAAGAATTTCACAACAGATGATAATGGTATGCCTTATGTGCTACAGTGCTTCAAAACTGAATGAAAAGGTAAGTAGTCCTAGCAACAAATGCTTAAAAAAGATATATAGGGAAATGTTTTGAAGACAATTTCTGACTTAGCAACTTTGTTTGGTCTAGTTAGGAGATAAACACTGGAAACTTTTAGTTTCAAAAATTTTGGATTTGTTTGTTAGATGAGGAAAACGTATTAAAATAGGTAAAATGTAATCAATGACTGAAGAACCTACGAATCTATATAATTAATACGCTACATGAAACTTTGTCGGTTGAACTCCTCCGCCATTTCTTAACCGATTTTATCCATTGACGTCTCATTGGAAAGAGCGTGTCGCGTAGATTTGCAAACTGGCCTTACATTTTTTAAAAAGTCCCTTGGCCTCTGCCCCATTGGCTTTGAAAGTTCCCATGTTATCCTTATGGAGAACACAATTGTTTACATTTTGATCAGCTGTCTAATTTAATTACTGTTATTTATTTTTCAATTCAATGAAACGCATTGAGTACATTTATTTACTACAGTATTTGAGTTTGTGTAAACATAACCCCCAAGACGGATCGTGTTAGTATGGTTGTATCTCAAATTTGTGCATTTATCGTTGTTTTGTGTAGCTATAATGTGTTGTTGTTTTTTTCTTTTAAATGCCTACGACGTGACGACAACGAAACATATAGACAGGAGGCGTAATCGTGATAACGACCGTAGCTACAGAACAGTGGCGCGTAATAGGCATAACTCATCAAGTCAGCACCTGACCCTGGACAATCTCAACTATTAGGTTAGAAATGCGCCCTAACACTACCCCAAAACGACTTTTCGTTCTCAATTGGCCCTCTATCAATGACCTGTGTTGTCTGTACAGCGAGGCATTTTGAGAAGGAGAAAACAGGCCTGAATGCTTGATAAACATGGTCTGTGTTACACACCGACTGGTAATGTTTGAGTTGACTCTTTTGAACTCATTGTAAATATGACTGTTATTCGTTTTGAAATAACTCCTGTAATACTTTGCAATTGCTCGAATTCGAGCAACGTGTACACTAGTTTCAATTAGTTAAATACCTCAAAGTTATATCCATACATTAACTTTTTTTAACTGAAAGGGACTTATAATAAAATTGCTCTATCACATCTGATATATTTTATGGTTTAAACAGAGTCAAGAGATTCTATGTGGACTTCTACTGATCCCGCTTGGAAAGTCTCCTTACAACTGCAAGGACCAGGTAAAATCTTTAGATCAGCTTAACAAAAAATCTATGTTGTTTTTAGAGGTAACAACTATACAGAATGATCACTCTATGCAATTTGTTTCAGATAGAAGTGTTCATAGACCTAATAATAGCAAGACCTCTTAAAGTGTCTGCTTTTGGACTTTTCGATGTTGATATGACAACAATTCCAAATGTAAGTACTGATATAAAATGTTCTAAGTTAAACATTTGTTGACTGATAAGTTATTGTTTTCTGTTTCTTATTGATGATTTGGTGTTATTGCAGGTTTTCTCAGTGATTCTGATGTACACGGTTGTTGTTGCGCAACTCGCTGATAGATTAGAAGTTTATTTTGTTCTTCATTAAACAAATTATCTTTTAACTACAATTCATTTTTGTAAAAACAAAACTTCAACTGTCTTGTTCCGTGCGGTTCTCTGTAAGCAAATTGATGTAGAAAGCAAGCTGTGAAAAGTCGTCAACATATTGGTTATATTAACAAAAGGTTGGTCATATACTTTGTAATGAAGATAACATAAACTACTGTTTATTAATAAAAAGCAAAAATTAAAGTGTCAACTAGTCACCGGTACTTAATATGACACATGATAAAACGCGGAAAACCTAACTGGATTGCCATCTAGACTATGTCATCTCCTTAGATAAATTGCACAGCCACCTCAGAAAAGATTTTTAGAAAAAAAAATAATGATAGACAATAGGTTACAAAAAAATCCTTTAGATTTTAAACTAGATTTGCATATAGAGGGTGTAAAAAAATAGAGATACCAAGATTTAAGAGGATATTTACCCTAGATAGCCAAAGGATCTCTCAATACTCATGACAGTTTGTTGTCAATAACGCATTTTATAGCAACTTCTCACAGCCATAAGACAGTAGACATAAGACATGTTTATTTCCAGTAGACATATTACAATTTATTGGAAGAGTCAAACATTTTTCATGCAGAGCAGTTGTCAAATTGAGAAGTGTTACAGAGTGTACTTTGAAGTCTACGAAGAAAAGAAAATATATTTTTAGTTAATAAATGAGTTTAAAACTAATATTACACAGAGTTTATCACTACAGTATTGAGAAGTAAAAAGAAAAAAAAAACAAACTATTTGAAAGTCAGCAAACATTACAGACTGATTGTACTACAAGGCAGGCGATGGCACGATAATTAAGTTAGACATACTGACTACCAAGAATAAATGCATACACTGTTAGACACAGCATATTAACCAACCTTGTAGTAATACAATGTGCCTTTAGCAAATTTAAATTCAACTTGAATAAAACACATTAGTTATGCTTCTCGATAATGTTTAATTTAAAGTAAAAATAAATGTTTTCATCAAGTAACATGTATTAAGTGGGTTATTTATTCCCAACAAATAATTTCTCTTAAACAATTTTGGTTGATTACATTTTTGTATTTTTGGTTTTGGAGGATCTGAGTAGTGGAATCTTTGATGAGGAGGAGATTCTCTGTGTATGAGCACAGGAGGAATAGTGAGTTACATTTTTTTGCAGATGGTTTTCCATGGAGTTTCTCTTCCTTCTTACTTGTTTGTCCAGCAGCAACGCCCATTGGCTCTCACTATACCCCAGTAGCAGCAAAGTGGTAGTTCTACCCCGCCTCTGAGGCTTAACCTCCCCAACACTTTTCCCTGACATTTTCCAAATTTTAACTGTATCCATGGAAATATGAATCAATATACATAGCAAATCCTATTGACTAGTGAGAATTGTCTGTGTGAGGGTATGGCTG